ATCGATGGTGAACGGAGAACGGACACGCACACGCGCGCAAACTCTGACACACCGAAGCAGCTACTACAGTGAGACAACCTTAGTGGGAAGTCCTGAAGGGTGGGCCAGTGGATCTGCAGAAAACTGGAGTTGCTGGACCGTTTTCAGAAGCATCGGATCAGCCCGCCCCATCGCTAAACAGCAAACCTGTTTACGTGTTTCGATGGGATGCTTCTGTTGTTTCTACGTGTTCCGAGGAGAGAAGGAAGAGGCTTACCCCAGAAGTCTGGGGACAGTTGTTCAAATCGTATCGTAGCCCAGTATTTCTGCTACCGACGGTCAAAACGAACCCTTCGGGTCAGTCGAAATTTCAGTCGAAATTTCATTCTCATTCCTCCAGCTAGCAGTCCAGAACTAGAAACCTTTGAGCGGCCAAGTAACATTGTCCCTAACTTGAGTTAGACGGGATAATTATTCTACAATCACGAATCCACGCCATTTGTTCATGTGTTGACGAAACTGCTAACTGAAGTTCCGCCCGCCTTGCGAATTCTTGTTCCTACTGGACTACTTCTGGTTTTCGGGTAGTATGAGATTCAATTTAATCGCAACGTCCGTCAGCCGCTCATGGGCGAAAGGCCTAGTTTCCAACTGCTCACTGTGAGGTCACGTGTTTGGATCCCTCTTTATACGCATGGAGCGAATCCTCTTGGTGGTTCCCAATGAAGCGAAGACAGCTGCAGAATACTTATCGCCTTTTCATTATAGGCTGGCATTGCATGCTGAACGAGATCCCAGTCCAAGACAACCCGGAATCTCTCCACGAAATCTACAGCTTGTGAGGCGGATGAAATCTTGGTGGACTTGCAATCAGTTAGGAACATTGACAGATCTACGTTCATTGCTGTCCATTAAAGTGGGTTGGCCTAACTTGACACCGGTTCCAATACGTTCAGACGAATGAGACAAATCGTCACGTGCCTGACGTTATTGATTTCCAAGTTAATAATTTTCCGTCAACTTGAGCCAGGTTGAAAGTTACCAATATATTAGAACAGCACGTTCCAAAACGTTTGGTCAAAATGGTGGTGAATATGTCACTTTACATTTCTAAATGCTTTCCTCGAAGTTGACTGTTCATTAATTTTTGTTTTCCATCCAATCAATACTGGAGCAATGCAGTTAGCCTCGGAGCTTGGTTGTTGTGAAACCCCATCCTAGAATGTTCTCGCTTTCTTTGAAGACCGGTACCTTGTGTGTCGCAGTATTTAATTAATAGATTTGACATAAAACGGATTTTCTGGTTGAGCTATTTGCCGATTGTTTCTTGCGAACAATCTGGTCGCCATGATTTTGAAAACTGCGGCACCTCACATCAGATCAAGTCACAATCACAGTAGCCATAGTAGTTGGGTTCGAACTACTGAGGATTCTGTCCGTAGCTTAGTGCCTTAATCAACAAGCCACGTTGAACACAGGGATGTGATTGGCCGGACTCAAAGGGCCAATCAACAGCTGTCACGACTACGTCGTTCCACTTGCCCGTCCTTCAACCCATTCCAATCGGGCATTTTCATGAACATTCGAATCGTGCTGGATAACTTCAGAAAAATCGTGGGTAGTTGCAGTTGGGATGACTACCTAGAATCAATCGAACACTGTCCTGACTGAGTTGACCCACTTACCATTCATGACTTTGGAAAATCCAACGAAATCAGACTGGCCATTCCCAACGCCATTCCCAAAGCTCATTAAACACGGCTTAGTAACATATGAACAGCGGAGTGGGCTGAAAGTGCTCACGACCGGTACACCGCCATTGACTGTACAGTACGAACAAGTGAACGACCATATTTGGCTCTGCAGTCATCCTATATATTCACGCAAAAGCTCTGTACGTTTGTCCTGACAATACAGCCGTGTCCAGGGTTCTATGTGTTCACCTTATCGCGTAGTCTGGTAGGCTTAGTGCAGGCGTACCCAATAGACAACACCCACGACACAACAGTCGCTCCGTCCGGGTGTTCTTAAATCAGACAGACCAGCGAACGCAGGTCACTTCAGACACCCAACGACGGAAACCTGCCCCTGTTCTAATATGCACTGTCTGGTCCAATTTCTGAATGCATATGGTCAAGAAAACTGAATTTGACTTCTGTTTCCCGTCGTAATATGGAAACCATCAAGATCTACTTAATAGATTTGACATAAAACGGATTTTCTGGTTGAGCTATTTGCCGATTGTTTCTTGCGAACAATCTGGTCGCCATGATTTTGAAAACTGCGGCACCTCACATCAGATCAAGTCACAATCACAGTAGCCACAGGAAAAATCAGTTACATCGTTCAACATAAGTTGATTCTGTAACTTTGATAACAATGATATAGTGGAATGTTATTAGGAGAACCAGCTCCAAACGTAACGGGACTACATGACAGCCAATAGAATAACCGCCTTCGTTGAGGCAGATTTCATTGGTTGTTCTTCACCTTCCCTTGATAGATGAGTTGTAGTCTTGGTATCACATTTTTGACCCGCTTGCACGCGACAGTGATCAATAGACCAACTGACTCGCACGTTCATTGATTTTTCTGGTCTGGTCAAGCGCACCAGGCTATCAATCGGCTCTCCAGACCGGGGTTCATGCTAATAAGAAGGTATTAAGGAGACTGTGGTCCACAATACATGTGCAAATCTTTCGATAACTCAACAACATTTTTCGTCAACCAACGGAATTTCTCCATTTGAGGCTCAAGTTTTTTAAGTCATATTGGTTAGGGTTGAAAAATATCATCTGGAGGCTCAACCTACCTCGCAAATCACTCGAACTTGCCTAGCATACCTTTCCCGAACCAAGTTTGGCGTAGTCAACAGACTGTGCTTTTTCTGTTGTCGCTGGTGTTGCGCATCTTCCACTGGAATGAATGCCTCTGCATTTTGGATCATTTTTTCGACCAAATTAATTTCGTGCGTCGTGTCCGCCACGAGCAGTCGAAAGTGAGCAAGTTTCTGCCTGGGAAATGAGCAGACAAATGCTGACGATGAGGTGCATGCATTCAATCAATTGGAAAAAGTGTGGAACCGATTGAGAAATCGCCGTTTCAAAAGGGCTTGGTAAACAGTCAGTAGTCTTTAATTGGGCAACGACACAAAAGCTTCATCAGGTCGCCAATTTGGCCAGGTTTTAGAGCAGATGGCGAACCAACCAGTAAGGTCTCTTCAGATTAGTACACTAGAATAGAGTTGAATGTCAATTAATGGCTCTTTTCGTGTAGTGTGGTTGTTAAAAACTTGCGTTGGTCGTTTGGGTGGTTTTAAATTAATTCCGATCGATTTTAGTTCCTTAATCTTCTACTTCAGGGTGCTTCAATCTACCAGTGGTACTCGCGGTGAATCATCAATTGATTGCGAATTCCGCTTGAAGGACAAATTGCCGCGCTCTACCACCAGCCTTTGTGTGTACTCATTTGTATGCTCATGCCGAGCATCATCGTTGGTCGTACGACAAGGCATTTGTTGAACAAAATGCGAGAACACGATCCCGTATCTCCGAGTGGTAGTTGGAAGAAACCAGGCTCAAGCGCGATTGCAGCACACTTGGCCGAAACCTGTCATATCATAGACAAGGAGCAAGCCTTCACCATCATATACCGAGTACCTCTGAACCGATCACGACTGGTACGACCCAGAATATCATCGATCTCCGAGGCGATTTGAATCCGACTGCTGGGTCCACATCTTTGCATCCAGAAGAAACTTGTGCGACCTCTTAGCTTGAACTGGCCTACGAAACATCCGGTCTCACAAGTCTGTCTGACATTGACGTCACTTACCTGATTCCATGACCCATTGACCTATCTCTCATCCAACCCGCCTTCCTTTGATTTCTATTTCTTTAAAGTGTATGTAGCCACGATCTTAGCCGTTTTCACATGATTTCTGGTACCATATAAATTTGTGATGCATTAGCCAAGAGAAACAATCACAGAAAACAAGCTTTGTTCGCTACCTTCTCATGATTCCAGAACTATTTGTCCAGATGCTCACAAGTTCTACGCCCCACACAATGAATTCATCCTGGAGACGCGGAAACATGATACAAACCCAGAAACAGCATTTTCTACGTTTGTTAGATTTATTGAAATCCGAATTTTATTGCTGACTCAGTTCTACAAAATACACTCATTTGCAAACCAATTTGGTTCTTTCGAGAGACTCACCTAAAACCCAGCTGAATCGATCGGTTTTGATGTTTTCAGCAAACTTAAGCGTGGTGCACGCATTTGCAAACCAATTTGGTTCTTTCGAGAGACTCACCTAGAACCCATTTGCATCGATCGGTTTTGATGTTTGCAGCAAACCTATGCGTGGTGTATTACAAAAATATATATCCAACTCAGTTCTGTTTATGCTGGTCTGATTTATGCTGTAATTCTCGTGAGGGAAGCAAATTATTTCTAGGCGGAGAACGCACGATTCTCTTATGTGCGCAAGTCAGCGGTTTTTTTGTTTCCTTCTCATTCCCAGGGAATTGCGGGCATGCTTAAAACTGGTTATCGACAATCGATGGGAATTTGAATTCATTTGCATGTACAACTGTTGCAGTAGGTGATTCGACAGAATCCCTCATCTTAAACACCGCCTGAGTGTGCTTAGCAATGGTATGCAAACATACTACTTTGATTCCGATTTAAGTAGTGCGAAAAGAGTGTTCAAATCATGGGTAGTAAACAGGACAAAAAACAAATGAACCTGGTAGTGTTGGAATATTGGTAGCTCGGGTGTATTGGTTGGTAATTGATCAGGTGGCTGTTGATCTGTTCGCCGAGCTTGGCAATTGATTTGCAAACGTTTCGTCACCATTCGAGGAGACATCTTCAGTGCGCT